GTGCAACCCCTCTTATTGTGCCACAGTGCAATACAATAACGTCGTAAAACCGAAAAGCAAAAGTAAAAAGGCGAAAAATTGGCATCAGCAGTACGCCAGTAGGCACCACCGACGCTTCACTGCTGCGCAATCACCACCAATCGCGCGTGGGCTGAGGATACTGCGAAGGTCGCTCGGTTACCTACGCAACCTCGTACTTAGTTCCCCTCAGCAAGTTGAAAATTGCAGTGAGAAGACGAAAATCGGCCAATGAGCGCATTTCGTACCACCTCGTCAATGCCTAAAACGGTAACTTGGAGTCACGTACACCGATTAGATGATGCAAAGAAGCATAAAACCAGTAATGCCAGAAACAACGGAAGTCGTGCCACTATATCCAGGGTAGTTTGTGGTTGACCGAAAATTGTTTTTGGACGCACAGCACGGGTTTACTGCTGTTTAATGCGAGAACCTCAGCAGATCACAGGAGCCGCAAATTGGTGTGACGTAGCAAAATTTGGAATGCGGCGCTTACCTCGATCAGATGACCTCAGATCAATAAATGCCTGGCGATCGGAAATGCTGGTGGCTTATGTGCATGTGTAGTTTGACTTGGGGCCGTTTGTTGTCTTATCTCGTATTGAACCCATTTTGGCACGTGCTCCTTTAATGGAGGTAGCAACAGCTTGTGAGTTCGGTCGATTATAGCAACTTTGGCAGCACCGAACATGCTCTGTGTGCCAGAGACCAGACGTCTGGTAGTCCTCAGTGTAGCTGTGTTACCTTTAAAAGGCAGCTCTAAGAATGTCTTCTTTGGTACGGTTGGCATCAGGTCTCACATTCCGCTGAGTTGGCTGTGCTTCTCGATGTATCTCCGAGAGTAGCCGTTTGCGATTAGCGTATTAGTAATCAGCTGTAGTTTATCGGCCAGACTATTGGTCGAACATGTTTGTCTGGCACGGTAGAACAAGGTCTGCACGAGCGTCCGTTTGTACTGCATTGGCTTGAACCTGGTACTAGCCCGACCAGGTTGCTTTTCGGCATGTAATCAGTTGCTTTTTTGCGTTGGGTATGGAATTGTGATTGGAGGAGAGGTTAAACAGGTAGGAGCAGATGAGATAATTCACCACAAACGCCACCGGGGTTCGACACTTACTTATGTAGTCTTTTAAGCTTATTTCTACTGGCTGCTTTCACCTTCTTGAATGTCGCAGACTGCGAATATTTTTTTAAACTTTGTTGCTGTTAGCACGTCTCACTTAAATCATCTACCGAGCTTTGGACTGCGCCTTTAACACCGTTTCGGTATCTTTTTTCACACTAGTTGACAGTTGCTTTTTTAAAGGGTGTGCACTAGAATCATGACTTTCCATTAGAAATGTAGAATGTACATTTCGCTGGCCTTTCAATTTCCAAGCTATACATAATATCGCTCAGTAGTTTGCTTTCCATCCTTCGGAGTTGATGAGTGCTGTTGCTCTGAGTCGCACATACGGGGCAACGAAATCCTACTATATGTGATCAACTATCCAAAGAATGGACATGGAACCATCGCGAACTCATAGGAATCAAGAAAAGCGCAATTTGATCAAAAAATAGAACGAAACCTTTTTTTGTTTTTCACACGCCGGTTTTTTCTTTTTTTCAAGGCCTAAGCTATTAGGCATGTGTACCAATACAATTCTGAACGATGCTCTCTTGAGCATGCTTATGGTCTAAGGCACTAAAGCATGTTATTAGCTCGAAAAGAGGTGGGAATAAGATCGCTGATCTATCAAGAAGAAATAATCCATCAGATGCAGGAAATCAACGTTCTTTAGGAGTTTACAGCCATCATCCATAAACAGCGCAGATCACTGTAAGTGTATCGATTTATCTGGAGTATTTGCCACCATACTGGCTATGACCTTGTACGTGCCTGTCCAAGACTCATTTTTCCTGCCCTAGAAAAGTCTTAGCCTTGAAGTCCTTTGCTCCTCTGCTGTATCCACAATCGTAGTTTTAAGGATCAGAAACCTGCCTTGTAATCTAACCGTGCGGGTTCGAGCCTGCATAGAGGACGGGATGACACTCGCAGTATCCTTAGCGCATGCGCAACTGGTGGTAATTGCGCGACAGCGAGGCGTCGGTATTGCGTACCGGCGTACTGCTGATAAATATCACAATCCACGAACCAACAGATTTGAACTGAATTTCGGCACTAGCTGTCACCGATGAACGACATGGATGGGTCAGGTGGGGATTAAAGTTGCTTCTGGTACGTCATTCGAAAGCGCTCCCAACCGGTAGCCCTCTTAGATTTATGTTCTCGAACAGTGGATGGATATTCGAAACGTCGATTGAATCGTGACAGACATGTCATTCTTAATATTTATAGCGCCTAAATGTCGTCTGATTGTATGTAGATGGCATGAGTCAATCAGCTAGAGTCGGCTAGCGCCATTCGGAACACTAGTATGTTGTCGCAACTCCTTCGAATCTCTAGCTATTTAATGCACCGATGAAGCTCGTGAGGTTTTTCGAAGGTTGTGTCGTTTATGGAGCAGCGGTATGTAAACTTAGTGGTTGAGGAACAAGCCCACAACACCGATGCAACACATCTGGTTGCAGCATCTAGGTTATAATCTCCTCACTTAAGCACATCTTTCCGTCTCTAAGCATTTAAGGCTATTCCTTTCATATTTTCCCAAATGTAATTGCCCGACACTCTTCTGCATTCCGATCCCATTGTTGTGATCCATAAATTGTATGCACGGAATGCGTCACAGGTATTATGGAAGATCAGCGTGTTGATATCCCCCTATCTTTGTAATTGATATCACTAGTACGCTTGCTACGTTGTGTCTGCCATTTGCTTCCGTACAGCCTCCACTAGTTGTATGCGGGCTCGGATACTGCTAGGTGTTTACCTAAACCCATGGAAACAGAAACCCCAGTGGCCTGTAGGTTACGAGACACGCAGCTGCACAATTCAAGCAATGACCAGCTAGTTTAACGCTGGCTGATTGTGATAAAACGGAGCGACCGGTTACCGAATGGATTAAGCGCGATTAAGCGCTAATCCGGATGTCGCCGGTTCGAATCCGCAAAGGTGCTAGAGCAACCTCCTCGTGTATACTCAGCCTGCGCGCGTTTGGTAACGGTCGCTTGGCAGCGAGACGTTTGCACAGTGTGCCGGCATACTTCAGATGTCATTTTTGGTAGAGCAAGACAAGTTTATCTTCCTTTCGTCAGATCCTCTGCTTAATTTTTTATTTTTCTACCCCTTACCTAATTTTTTCACAAAACGTTTGACATTTATTAAATCACGCTTTCACTGCTGCTTTCTGGTTACAGTTGGGCTCTTTAACTTCGCACCGCTAGTCTGGTCTCGTCAATCTAACGATAAGACAGAATGGTCCGTTCACCTTCTGCTAATAGTTTCTCAAAATCCAGCAGCGTGCATTTAACGTCACTATTTTCTGGTCCAGGTGTTTGAACTGGTTTTTGACGGAAGCGCACAAAGAACGAACGTAGCGGAATAAGAGGCGCTAGTTGCAGGCTTGTTTTTCGACCTTCTTATAACCCCAAAACGTTGCAAGCTGCTGAACCACATGCTATCGAGCTGGTTAGGACATGGAATGCAACACACTTAGGCTTGGTCTGGGCCATTTCGCACTTGCTGCACACACTGGGATCTGATCTCGGGCCAATATTCTGTGAAGTTGCCCGTCCTTCAACTCATTTTTACCTTTACAAGAGTACGGTTGTGGGCAGTGAAACATTAGCTTGTGGCTCATATGTGTGCGCTGGATTTGTGATTCAACTTTCTAACTTTAGATCTCTGCTTCCCGAAGTTGAGCCCTCACTTTTACATGAGTTTGCGCACTGTGGCGATACCCCAGCACCTACATGCGACCGCTTGCAGATTTGCATGACAATGGGCCATTAGTACGAGCGGTATATGCAAGAATGGGGCGAAATTGTCTAAATGAGCCACAATCACTGCGTCGGCTACGTGCCTGCATTCAAATCTTTGTCGACTGGATTTCTCGGTGTGTACATTTTGCCAACAGTGCATTCTATCGGGTGCATCCACACAACGACAAGGTGAAGAGATTTTACAGGACGCCTGGCCTATCAACTCAGTAAACAAGGCCAGTTACGTTCGGTCATCGCTGCTTTCGCAGTTTAGTTCATGTCTGGTGGGAGCACCACGTGAGCAGTGAAGGTGTTCGGCGTCGTGTATTTGATGCAGGAGGAGCAAGTGAACCGCTCAGCACCCTTATTTCACTTACCAGGCTCCGATGACTTGGCCACGTGCTGCGCATGCCAGCCCACTGGCTCCCGCGACGTGCGTTGTTTGCGCGCCGGGACTGTGGATGGCAGAAGAGGAGGGGAGGCCAAGCGATAACTTGCTGAAGAGGGACTAAGGCATTCACTTCGAAGTTGGCGTCGGTTGATGTCTCCCGACTACCCGGTTGTGGTCCAAAGGTCGATGAAGATGTCTTGTTAAATACACCTATTGACATGGCAAGGAGCCGACCTCCACGACGTCTGTGATGCAAGTTTCCTCGTCCCTCCCCACCTCGATTCTCTTTCCTCTCTAACCACGATCCCTATTTTGAAGCGTAATATCTTACTAAGCAGTATGTTGCTTTTTGCATTCTATGATGCATAGTGTCTTGCTTTTTCATATTTTACCTTTACCTATTGCGGCAGAATAGTTGAAGTGTGTTTCTTACATTCAGCTAATATGTAATTATGATGAGGATTATTGTACAGGTTCGTGCATTGCCTGGGCCTCTTCCGGTCCAGCTATACTACTAAGTAACGACTCGCTCTAACGAAGGATGCCTGCATTTTTTGTTTTGTTTCACTTGAATGTCTGAATATGTGTTTTTTGCCACATTCTCTCTTGCTCGTAATTGTTATTAATCTGGCGCTTCGGAAAGTGGATAATGGCTAACTAATTAAACTACATTGTTTTCTGTTCGCTCTAAATCTTGCAACTAGTGCGATCACGTCCTTTTATATTACAGGCATTTATGAAGCATACGTGGGTCACAAAAATTTTAGCATGGGTCGACAGCCGACTCCTTTGGAGGGTACAGACGTCGTAAGTTCCACTTACGTTTATTCCCAAATGCTTTTGGACAGTTTCTCGTCTCCTTCTGTGATTACGTCAATTCACCTATATTGAGAGGTTTTTCTGTACACTTTTGTTGGGCTTCTCTCGGGTCCCGTTGAGCTGCTGAAGTTTAGGTACATGCCTAGGTTCCAACCTGATCACTTGTAACTGAATCATTTTTGTCCACTGAATGATCGTAATTAACTCCCTTGCTTCTTTCTCCCCATCTTACTAGTTGGTTTCTTTTGCTTGACCGACTGCCGGTACACGGGACATGTGGCTCCTTTTTGGCTTTGATTCCGTTGCTGTGTACATGCTGTACTGTGGATAGATATATGCTGTCAACTTTACATTTCAAATTATGACCACATTACTGTATGAACACACCAGCTATTCTCACTGAATAACCGTCTGAAATGGTCACTCAGTTTCCCTACTTCAAGGGATGATGTCGTCTCTGATGGATCACCTCACCGAGTAGCTTACCGCACTCATTGCTAAAGTCCATGTTGCTTTTCCGAACATGTCACCTCCGGGTTTTATCCGTTAACAAAGTGTTTAACAACGCTGCTATGCGACCAGTGTTGCCTCCGCACATCTAGTCTTGTTGTTGTATGGGAGCGAGTCGTCGCCAATTTGCGTGAAGGATGTGCGCCGTTTCTCTACCTTCCACAACGGTTGTTTGAGGAAGATCGCTCATGTATGGTGGTAACACGGAGTTCGCAAGTTGCACTTTCCTTTGATCCCCATGGTTTTCCGTTGGATTCATATCTACTAATTATATATATATATATATATATATATATATATATATATATATATATATATATATATATATATATATATATATTAGCGGCTTGCAGTTTCCTGATTTGCTTGACAGTTGCCTTCATAGCCCCTGCCACAGGAGGCCTGCGCCTACGGAGGGACCATGGGTGGCTTGCGTTGCACTACCCACAGCTACATCCGTACACCCCTTATCCGGTGTAAGCCCAGAGGAATAGTACCGAGAGGCTTGTGTATGGTTGCCACGTTTCATCAACGAACCGGCCCACACTCCTTTAGCACCGGCATTCCTGTCTATCGATGTGGGGAATCATGCGTACCAGACGTACACAAGGCCATGGATTGGTCGTTTCCCCTTCCTATACTAGATGCATAGAACCGAGCTTTGAGCCTAGCGTGGCCGCGAGGACCGTGCACTCCGTATCCCCATGCAACAATGAGCTGTTTTCTTGAGCCAGTGTAATCGAGGTAGCAGATTTCGACAGACAGGCACTTTGTCGGCATTTACATTAAGCACAGTCACACCGAGTATTTGTTAATTCAACAAATACATAGGAAACAACAATCGCAAGCACACGTACAGACCAAATACGGCGATGATGTAACACATGGTACCACTTCAACCGTATTCTTGACCTAGGGATTAGTGCATTGAATCGGAAGCAACGAACTTACTAAGCGCTGCTTAATCACCTGACTCGTTGCTTCTCTGATATCAGCCCTACATGCCAACGCTGATGGCTTACCAAACCAGCTTGGCTGAGGCACTGGCGACCGCATGTGCTACAACACCATGCACTAGACGTCGATGGGGTAGACTCCTTCGGCGCCTGTCACTTCCACAACAGACGTTTCTCTTTCTTATGCTGCAATGCACTCTTGCACTTGGAAACCGCATTCTTGATAGGGGCGCGCCATTGGCTGTGGTCTATTGCCATTGCGTCCCAACACCTGAAGTCAACATTAGTTTTTGATAAACCCACTTTGGCCATGTGCCGGTAACGTAATTTCGGTTTGTCCCCGTGCCGCTTCCCTGCGCTAAGCTGACCATACAGCAACTGCTTCGTTATCCTTGTCGAATACATGCGGCGGACATGTTCAAGCCGTCGCAAGGGCCGCAACTGAATTATGGTGTTCACTGTATACTGCCACTGCGGTGGAGCACCTCTGTGTGTGCAACTCTTCCACAGAATCCGGCGCAGACATTTAATGAAAGCGCACCAGATATCTGCCGTTTCTCCGGTACAGCGTTCACGTTTCGCTGCCGTGTAGAAGAACGGGCAGCACCATCGACCGGTACACCATCAGCTTCCTCCCGATAGTAAGTTGATGATTTCTTCACACCCGATTTTCCAGCTTACCAAATATAACAGCCGCCTTCGATACGCGGATGCGCAGCTCGCTTGTCATCTGCAAGACGGTAAAGAGTACACTCGCCAGATGGCTTCCAAAGCGTCGATAGCTATTTGGATTTACGGTAGGACCATGGATTCAATTTCTGACGAAGAGCAAGGACTAATAGCGTTGCCTGTGTTGGTGGTGAGGCGGAACTTGGTTGCGGTCGAAGCGAGAGTCGTCGTCATACGCTGCAACACATCCGCGCTGTATGCAAACAACGCGCTGTCATCGGTAATCAGCAGTATGGTGATTGTCCCACACTAGGGTTCTCGCCTTGAAACGACGGATGTTCAGCAACCCGCCACGCGGACACCGTAATCAAAAGCAGCATCCTAAGCACAATACATCATTGAATGAAAGTAAATATTAAACAGAACAGGGGCTAGGATACAACTTTGTTTCACACCAGAGACAACATCAAAGTCATCCGAGGTCTGTCCACTGAGCTGCACCCTCGCCTGTGCCGACATTCAATTAAACTTATAAACACTCTGGCAACCAAACTTACCCAACACCAACCACAGGGTCTCGCGGTTCACCGTGTCAAATGACTGGGCAAAGCCTACAAACAGCGTGTGCAATAGCCGCTATCGATCTCGGTATTTCTGCTGCAGTTGCGAGCCGCAGCACCAAATCTATGGAATCCACATTACTCTTCCGCCACTTGCGGCTCGACGGCCTGCATGACGAGGCAGTTGAGCAGGATTCGTGCTATCACCCCGACACAACTCAGCAACTTGATACCACGATAGTTCGTGGCACATTGCTTGCTCCCTTTGCCCATGTGAACTGATAGCACAAGGGCATCCTTCAACTCAACCGGCACTTTCTCTTCAAACCACAGGAGCTGCACACGATGTGGTGCAGCACATATATCAGCGCGGGTCCGCTGTGTTTTAACACTTTAAGTGGGGTCCCGTCGGATCCGGCGCACTTGTCATTTCGTACCTGAGCAAATTCTCTCTGCGTCTCATCCATTGTCGGTGTGTCGGCAAGGCACATCCTCCTCTCTTGTTGTTGCACCCCGTGCAACCTAGTCCACTCAGCCTCTGAACGCGGCTGTTCAAGTGGAAATGCGTTCGCTAGATCTGCAGTCTGCGAGCAGGCAGTGCCTGAAGTATCAAGCAGCAATGTCCTCAGAGGCTGCAACGTGGGGACATACATCCCTTTCAAAGGGTTAAAGAATTCTTTATGTTAGCGGCGTTTTGCATAGCATTCCATCTTCTCCGCCTTCCGCGTGTCTTCTGCTCTCGAGTGAATCGCGTTTAAGTTTGCGAAAATGACTTCTCGAAGTCGGCAGGGTCCTCCACAAATGCAGCGGTTGCTGCATTCTTCGCTGAGACCAATGTACCAATGGTCACACTGTGGTCGCCAAATCCATCGGGCCCCTTTTATTTTACGCTCCCGATGGTTTGCTCAGCAGCAGCCGTCACCTGTTCACATATGTGAAACCACAGGTCGCTTACTGGGGCGAAAGATTCGACATCGTCAAGGCGGGTAACCATCTCATTCTCCAGTTCCATCCTCTTCTCAACAGTACCAAGGGAATAGATATTAAATTTGCACCGATTCACGGCAGATAAGCAATACATAGATTTAAGCAAATATATGTACTATTTGATCCACACCAATCTGTGGTCAGAGCCACACTCAGCTCCACGTATTACACGTGTCATGCGCAATTCTCACATGTCACCCTGGCGTACCATGACCTAGTCGAGCAGCTGAGCGTATCCACTCCGTGGCTTCATCCAGATACCAATACTACTCGCATCCAGTGTAAACTGGGTTTTCGGGATTGTCAGGCCGTGAGTGGCACACGATGGAAGCAACCGGTCACTGTTCCCATTGGCTGTTTTAATACCACACGGCCTGATGTGGTCTGCGCGCACCGCGGCATCAAGCCCAACGCGCACGTTGTCAACACTCAGTTGGAGTATCCGGTCGCTCCTCCGCACAGACTGTATCACGAAAGACAACTGAGCGTGAAACTGATCCCTCGTGTCATCAGGACAACTCTTGGGGGCCATCCGCATTGACGGATATGACAAATTTACCTCTTTGCAGTCGTAGGCGAACAGTCATCAATCATGGGCTGATGTCAGTCTGCTCTTCCATTGGGTTGGACCGCGTTTTGTCCGCGTACTTACTAGCTGGTTATCTCGATATGTTGCTTTTGCTGACCTTACACCTCTGTAAATGAAGCACCTTGTTGGTCAACCAGTAAGGTGGCGATAGAACATGGTGAAACTCGCCATCCTCTTAGATGGCGTCCACGTGATAGACCAACTTGGTGCTTCCATTCCTTATTGGATATTGTGCGGTCACAAGTCCGCTAGTGCGCTCACATTCTTTCCTTTCTTGGTCTTGGCTACTCCCTTTCACTTCAGTTCACGCACCACAGTTTGTCGGCCGGTTTATACGTAATCCAAGAAAGTATGTTCGCAAATGCGAACTTAAATTTTGTTGTCCAATTCCTGCTGGAATGACACCTTCAAAACAGCAGGTTTTGGGGTTTCGTTCCCTAATAGAATACACAGATTTGCGTTTACAGACGGATGTTGCAGCCTTTTGTTCTGCTGTGCGGCTGTCGGATACCGATCCTAAATTGTCTCATTTAATGCAACATATATGCTACAAAAACTTGGAATATACTTGGAGTTCCCAGCGCTCCAGCTAAAATCATTACTGCGCCTATGCACAAAAGATATTCAGTTCCGGTTCAATGGAACCCTGTATCGACAAATCGACGGCGTGGCCATGGGCAGCCCACTGGGCCCAGTTTTGGCTGATATCTTCCTCGGAAACTTGGAAAACACTGTGTTAGCTTCTTACCTACAAAATGTACACCTTTATTGCCGGTATGTAGACGACACATTCATCGTCGT